CAACGGGTGAAGGAAAAGTCCTAATGGGTGTTGCCGCCTGACCAAAATCCGGTAGCCCACAGCAAAGACACGTGGCACTAGTTCTGCGAAGCATCAGCAGTCCCTGGCGACAGTGCCAGCACCACACACCACGTGAAAGTCGGTCTGCAAGGGCCTCATTGCAGTTTGAGACCGAGTTCTTAAAATTGCTCACTTGGTTTTTACAGTAGAGTTTTGAGAATTTATATTATGAAATCAAACGACCTAGTCGTGCCCAAAGGTTATTGTGGACATACCCTTATTTCAGAGGCATAGATCGGGTGAAGTAAGTCAATTTCAGTTGACGCCCTTTGATTCTGTTAGTATCGCATGGTGTTATTTAAGCCCTATTAGCACTCGCCCTTGGCCACTAGTACCTTACTAATTTCCCCAGAGCCTCCAATCTAATTAGATGCGTTAACTTAATGTATTTCTAGTTTAGGGAGTAATTATTTTACAGCAAACTTTAGCCAGAGGAAAATCACTATACTACCAGAACCTGGATTCAACCAAGGTCTTCTAACTTTTAGACCTGTTCGCTTACTTTTACAACTATCATCCAAAACCAACACTTTCTTAATGCCTTTCTTTCCTAGCCGCCTTCGCTGGAAGTAATGTTTCTTCTATACAGAAAGATGGCAAACACTGCTATTTATGAGAAGGCAGAAACATTTTTGTATTCACTGCATTCACTCCAACACCCTTTCACAGTTTTACGTATGTTTCTCAATTAAAAAACCAAGTTTGGTTCTGTAGGATTGAAATACACCAGCTCAAGCAGATTACTAATTTACAGTGGCTAATTTCTAGTACGTTCTAGAAGGGCTTCCATTTTAATTTATGGCTGCAAGACTAGTTTACCTAGAGAGGTACCAATAAAAATAAAAATCCAACTTAAAAGGGTTCATTAGAGCTTTTACTCCACCCACCCCCACACCAAATGATGTAAACAGTGGTCATGTTCTCTGGTATCATTTAATACAATCTTACAGCACAACTACATGTTCCTGTTGCAGAAGTCAGCAAACTCCAAGCCTCCCCCAACCCCCACCCTTGTAGACCCTGTGAGCTAAGAATGGTTTTTATAAACAGTTGAGAGAAAAAGACAAAAGAAAAATATTTAATGATGTGGAAATTATATGAAATTCAAATTTAAGTGTCCATAGTTTCACTGGAACACATCTTCACTCAGTGGTTTATGTATTGTCTACAGCTGCTTTTGCTATAGGAGGGCAGAACTGAATAGCTGTGACCCTCAAAGCCTAATATATTTACAGAAAAAATTTGTCAGTTCCTATTAGAAAGGGTTTTGCCTACAAATGGAATAATACTCAAAGCCCATTATGAGACATTCAGCATAACAAATTTTTATTGTAAAGCTTTGTCATAAGAGCATACATAGGCAATAAATATAAAAAGTAAATGTAAAATAAGAGTAAATACCATAAGGATAAAATATAGCTGTTTGTAGATTTGATGTACATATTTATATTTGGTTAAATGTAAAGCATTCCTAGCTTTTTTTTTTTTTTTTTTGTCCTTTTTGAGACCGGCCGCCCCAC